GTGAAAGAGTAAGCAGGGGGTAGCAGAAGACTGCATTAGCTACATCGCAGCCTGCTAGCCAGGTTTTTCGTTCGTACCAATTTTTGGAAAATCCTCGGGTGTAGGACTTCCCCCCTTTAGTAGAAACCTGTTGAATTATTAAATTTGGTCTGGGAGGTCCTAATTGTTTCGTTGCCAATTTATCTTCATTTGTTCGCCGACAAAAAGGAACTTCTTTCAAAGACACAATCGAGTTGCACTGAAGCCTAGCCATTTTGATAGAAGTAGTGAATTGATTGACGCTGCTACCCGCTCTTTTCTTAGTTACGTTCATGGTTATATGTTACGTATGACGAAAGCGCGTAAGTGCAAGCCCTCAGAAACCCATAGAGATTGTATTGAAAGCTCTGATATTTGAAAAAAATTGATTTTACATGGGAGTCTATGACAGACTTCTGGGCGATTTTCAACCTGACTGAAATCGCCCCAAAAGGGGGGGGGGCCATTTGAAGCACGACTTTAGCCTGATTGGACATTTAGTGGCACTGTGGCAGATCAGACGTCTAGATTACAACACTGATAACTACTGTTGCCGTGATATAATTGATTAGAAAAAAAATCCCTTCCTTTTCCCGTTTGGCAGTGCGTCGCCCATATCGCCCTATTGAACACACCGCCCCTGCTCCCTACCATCCAGGAGCCAATCCCTGCTCTGATCTTCTGTCTCCCTACCATCCAGGAGCCAATCCCTGCTCTGAACCTCTGTCTCCCTACCATCCAGGAGCCAATCCCTGCTCTGATCCTCTGTCTCCCTACCATCCAGGAGCCAATCCCTGCTCTGATCCTCTGTCTCCCTACCATCCAGGAGCCAATCCCTGCTCTGATCCTCTTTGTCTAGGGTCTTATTCTTCCCCGTGACCTCCACACAATACCCCTGACACTGCAGCCTAGGAGTTGTTCACTGAATCACTGTGTACCAAGTACCAACTGTGTATCTATAACTGGATAGCTTTAGCTTTAGGACATATTATTGATTTTCAATCAAAATACCCACCACAAAGCCATATAGCTGTTCATGAATCATAAACCATTTACAGAACATGCAGTTGGTGGATGTGTCCCACATTCCCCAACACCAACCAGGATCCATTCCCTCCCTGTGTGTGTTTCCTGGTAATGTCCAGACATGAAACTGGTTCCCATGGAATACCTGGCATACAACACACCTTTCACCTTTATCTACTATAACAACACACCTTTCACCTTTATCTACTATAACAATACTATCTGCTATAACAAGATTACACTTTATCTGTTATAACACTACACTTTATCTATTATAACAACACTACACTTTATCTATTATAACAACACTACACTTTATCTGTTATAACAACACTTTATCTGTTATAACAACACTTTATCTGTTATAACAACACTACACTTTATCTGTTATAACAACACTACACTTTATCTGTTATAAAAACACTACACTTTATCTATTATAACAACACTACACTTGATCTGTTATAACAACACTTTATCTGCTATAACAACACTACACTTTATCTGTTATAACAACACTACACTTTATCTGTTATAAGACTACACTTTATCTGTTATAACAACACTTTACCTGTTATAACAATACTTTATCTGCTATAACAACACTACACGTTATCTGTTATAACAACACAACACTTTATCTGCTATAACAACACTTTATCTACACTACTACTGCCTTTCTGGCTGACTGGTTGACTGACTGGCTGACTGACTGGTTGACTGACTGGTTGACTGACTGGCTGACTGACTGGTTGACTGACTGACTGGCTGACTGCCTAACTGGCTGACTGACTGGCTAACTGGCTGACTGGCTGACTCTCTGGCTGACTGTCTGACTGCCTAAATGGCTGACTGACGGACTGCATAACTGGCTGACTGACTTACTGACTAACTGGCTGACTGACAGACTGGCTGAATGACTGACTGGATGACTGACTGTCTAAATGGCTGAATGCCTACCTAGCTGGCTGACTGACTGCCTAAATATCTGACTGACTGACTGACTGACAGACTGGCTGACTGACTGACTGGCTGATTGATTGCCTAACTAACTGGCTGACTGACTGACTGCCTAACTGGCTGACTGACTGGTTGACTGACTGCCTAAATGTCTGACTGACTGACTGACTGACTGATATACTGGCTGACTGACTGGCTGACTGATTGTCTAACTAGCTGGCTGAATGCCTAACTAGCTGGCTGACTGACTGACTGACTGCCTAACTAACTGGCTGACTGACTGGCTGACTGCCTAACTGGCTGACTGGTTGACTGACAGAGTGGCTGACTGACTGAATGAATGATTGGCTGACTGAATGACTGACTGGCTGACTGGCTGATTGACTGCCTAACTAGCTGACTGCCTGACTGGCTATACTGACTGCCTAACTGGCTGACTGACTGTCTAACTGTATAGCGACAAAGATGACAGAGAGAACAGTGAGAACATCAGCCTTGTCCAGACCCGCTCTCATTCAATTCAATTTAAGGTCTTTATTGTCATGGGAAACATATGTTAACATTGCCAAAGCAAATGATGTAGATAATAAACAAAAGTGAAATAAACAATCAAAATTAACAGTAAACATTACACTCACAAAAGTTCCAAAATAATAAAGACATTTCAAATGTCATATTATGTCTATATACAGTTTTGTAATGATGTGCAAATAGTTAAAGTGCAAAATGGAAAATAAATCAACATAAATATGGGTTGTATTTACAATAGTGTTTGTTCTTCACTGGTTGCCCTTTTCTTGTGGCAACAGGTCACAAATCTTGCTGCTGTGATTGCACACTGTGGTATTTCACCCAATAGATATGGGAGTTTATCAAAATTGGGTTTGTTTTCTAATTCTTTGTGGATCTCTGTAATCTGAGGGAAATATGTGTCTCTAATATGGTCATACATTTGGCAGGAGGTTAGGAAGTGCAGCTCAGTTTCCACCTCATTTTGTGGGCAGTGTGCACATAGCCTGTCTTCTCGAGAGCCAGGTCTGCCTACGGTGGCCTTTCTCAATAGCAAGGCTATGCTCACTGAGTCTGTACATAGTCAAAGCTTTCCTTAGGTTTGGGTCAGTCACAGTGGTCAGGTATTCTGCCACTGTGTACTCTCTGTTTAGGGCCAAATAGCATTCTAGTTTGCTCTGTTTTTTTGTTAATTCTTTCCAATGTGTCAAGTAATTATCTTTTTGTTGTCTCATGATTTGGTTGGGTCTAATTGTGTTGCTGTCCTGGGGCTCTGTGGGGTCTGTTTGTGTTTGTGAAAAGAGCCCCAGGACCAGCTTACTTAGGGGACTCTTCTCCAGGTTCATCTCTCTGTAGGTGATGGCTTTGTTATGGAAGGTTTGGGAATCGCTTCCTTTTAGGTGGTTGTAGAATTTAACGGCTCTTTTCTGGATTTTGATAATTAGCGGGTATCGGCCTAATTCTGCTCTGTACACCAAGGATATTTTTGCAGAATTCTGCATGCATTTTGTGAATTCATTTTGTGAATTCTTGGTTGGTGAGTGGACCCCAGACCTCAGAACCATAAAGGGCAATGGGTTCTATAACTGATTCAAATATTTTTAGCCAGATCCTAATTGGTATGTCGCATTTGATGTTCCTTTTGATGGCATTGAAGGCCCTTCTTGCCTTGTCTCTCAGATCGTTCACAGCTTTGTGAAAGTTACCTGTGGCGCTGATGTTTAGGCCGAGGTGTCTAGATGGAATTTGTATTTGTGGTCCTGGCAACTGGACCTTTTTTGGAACATCATTATTTTTGTAAATGTAAATGTATTACTGAGATTCTCTCTCTCTATCTCTCTCTCTCTCTCTCTCTCTCTCTCTCTCTCTCTCTCTCTTTCTCTCTCTCTCTCTCTCTCTCTCTCTCATTGCAGGTCAAATCAAATCAAAGTTTGTTGGTCGTGTACACAGATTTCCAGATGCTATCGCAGGTGCAGTGAAATACTTGTTTTTCTAGCTCCAACAGAGCAATAATACCTAGTAATACAAAACATTACGCCCCCCTAATCTAACTGGTAAAAAAGAAAGAAATGAAGAAATATCAGAACGAGCAATGTAAGAGTCCGGAATATACTGTAAATATACTGTATGGCTTGCCAAAGTATTCACCCCCCTTGGCATTTTTCCTATTTTGTTGCCTTAAAACCTAGAATTAAAATGGATTTTGGGGGGGGGTTGTATCATTTGATTTACACAACATGCCTACCACTTTGAAGATGCAAAATATTTTTTCTTGTGAAACAAACAAGAAACATAAAAAAAAAAAAAAGAAAACTTGAGCGTGCATAACTATCCTGACTTTGTGTCCTAACTAGGGTTAGGTTTAAATCACATTTTAAGAAAGGAATTGTAGAAATAGGCGAGGTATATGACTTTGTGTCTGTGGTAACTAGTGACGACCACTGTGCAAAAGTAGTTTATGTCGCGTTTATATGCTTGTCGGAACTAGGAAACTCGGAACTCTCCGATTTGCTAACGCATTGTTGAAATATGATCCCGAGTTTCCAGCTTGGGATGTATTAGAATCAACCAATAGGAAGCTCTACGCAAATAACTTACGTTAATTTTCACTCAGAGGATCCGAGTTTCCTATAGCACGTCAACGCGGCATTACACACCGCACAAACGTTCTATTATATGACTTCTACAGTCATTTGCAACTATGTCAATGGGATATGACCGTCTTTCAATAGTTCGTTTTTTACTCCAGATCCGTTTAATTAGAAAGGGACTCATCGGCTAATTTACTGGTTTACTAAGCGCCAGGGAACGCACACGTTGCGCAGTTGCGCACATCATACAGCCAGCCTTGAACCAAAGGACGCAAAGACAGGATCCTGATAAAAAAAGTGGTATTACCTGTGGGCCAAGTTCATTTGACATCCTTCCTCCCGTGCCTCAGCTACTGAAACTTGACAGTCCAGTTCCTCAAGCAAGACCTAGTGAACATGCCTCAGGAGTTTGACAAGTAAGTCGTGTACTGTGCTGCTTGCCGAAGTTATTATGCCTGTTATCTTTGGCCCTCTTGTTGACCTAATATCCCACAAGGAATTTATTTTGCCTAATTGATGTACATATTACGTCAATTTACCTCGACGAACCTGTACCCCCGCGCATTGACTCCGTACCGGTACCCCCTCTATGTAGCCTCGTTATTACCTGGACGAACCTGTACCCCCGCGCATTGACTCGGTACCGGTATCCCCTCTATGTAGCCTCGTTATTGTTATTTTATTGTGTTACTTTTTCTTACTTTAGTTTATTTAATATAAAAAATTAAAAACATTGTAAGTAAGCATTTCTGTAAGGTCTACACCTCTTGTATTCGGTGCATTTGACAAATATAATGTGATTTGATTTGATTAACACATTGGTGACACATTTCTACAACCACCAACAGTAGCAGCAGTAAATATTCGCAGATTATGGCAGGTCTAACTTCTGTGGCTATTATGGTAACATAACTTGTGGTGGAATACTTGAAATGATGTGTCAGCTATATAGTCTGCCTGCTGTCTAGCATCTTTGACTCAGAGAAAAATATTTTAGGAATGAAATGCATCATTATTATTGATAAATATTGTGAAAGGCTATATTTTGTGAGAAAAATTAATACATTCATTCATTGCTGTAGTTTAACATATGCTGCAGCTCAATCAACATGATCATTATCTGTGACTAGCAAATGATCAGAGGGATACCATCAACAGTGTCAGGGAGGCAGGAGCTGCTTGATGTAAGCTTGGTGAGAAACAGCCTTGGGCAGAGCTCACAGCAACAGTAGTGGCTTGGCAGACATTGTGGTGAATGCCCTTTAATGACGTAATAAACATGTTCTCCCACTGTTTCCCATTGTGTTGGTTCCAAGAGTGTGAATATATATGGGTGTGTCCTAGAGTAAGCATCTGGTAATGTCGTTGTATTGTGTCCTACTGGTTGAAGTGTCCTGGGGTAAGGAATACTTTTTGGGGATTGTCCCACAGTAGGCGTCTGGTGATGGTGGTGCCCAACGAGATGTCTGCCCCGTCCCGGAGGTCCTTCAGCAGTGAGGACGAGGCATGGAAGACCTACCCGGAGAACCCTCTGACTGCAGCTACCAAGGCCATGATGAGCATCAATGGAGACGAGGACAGTGCCACCAATCTTGGACTGCTCTATGATTATTATAAGGTGAGAGGTCAGGGGTTAGACTGCTCTATGATTATTATAAGGTGAGAGGTCAGGGGTTAGACTGCTCTATGATTTATAGTGAGAGTCAGGTTAACTGCTCTATGATTATTATAGGTGAAGTCAGGGGTAGACTGCTCTATGATTATAAGTGAGAGGTCAGGGGTTAGACTGCTCTGATTATTATAGGTGAGAGCAAGTTAGACTGCTCTACGACCACAATAAGGTGAGTCAGGGGTTGGAGTTAGATGCTCTACGACCACTATAAGGTGAGAGGTTAGCTTAGACTGTCTACACCACTATAGTGAGAGTCATGGGTTAGACTGTTACACCATATGTGAAGTCAGGGGTTAGACTGCTACGACCACTATAGGTGAGAGTCAGGGTTAGACTGCTCTACGACACTATAAGGTTGAAGGTCGGGGTTAGACTGCTCTAGACATATAAGTGAAGTTGGGTAGACTGCTCTCACCACTATAGTAGAGGTCAGGGTTAGATGCTTAGACCACATAAGGTGAGAGTTAGGCCGTTAGACTGCTCTACGACACTATAAGGGAGAGGTTAGTGCGTTAGACTGCTCTAGACCACTTAGGTGAGAGGTTAGGCGTTAGACTGCTCTACACCACTATAGGTGAGGTCCAGGGTAGACTGCTCTACGACCACTATAAGGTGAGAGGTCAGGGTTAGATGCCTACGACCACTATAGGTGGAGGTCAGGTTAGACTGCTTACACCACTATAGGTGAGAGGTCAGGGGTTAGACTGCTCTAGACATTATAAGGTGAGAGGTTAGGGGTTAGACTGCTCTACGACATATAAGGTGAGAGGTTAGGAGTTAGACTGCTCTATGACCATATAAGGTGAGAGGTCAGGGGTTAGACTGCTCTACGACCACTATAAGGTGAGAGGTCAGGGGTTAGACTGCTCTACGACACTATAAGGTGAGAGGTCAAGGGTTAGACTGCTCTACGACCACTATAAGGTGAGGTAGGGGTTAGACTGCTCTACGACACTATAAGTGAGAGTCAGGTAGACTGCTCTACGACCACTATAAGGTGAGAGGTTAGGCGTTAGACTGCTCTACGACCACTATAAGGTGAGAGGTCAGGGGTTAGACTGCTCTACGACCACTATAAGGTGAGAGGTCAGGGGTTAGACTGCTCTACGACCACTATAAGGTGAGAGGTCAGGGGTTAGACTGCTCTACGACCACTATAAGGTGAGAGGTCAGGGGTTAGACTGCTCTACGACCACTATAAGGTGAGAGGTTAGGAGTTAGACTGCTCTACGACCACTATAAGGTGAGAGGTCAGGGTCAGGGTTAGGAGGGTTGTGGTTAGTAGGCCATGATGAACCTCAGTAGAGACGAAGACAGCGCTCTATGACTAAGGTGAGACGGCTGCAGTGGGAGAGGTCATTAAGGGGGATTCCTTGTGTTGTACCTTTTCCTTATGTGCTTTATTTGCCCCAACCCTAAAACCTGCTGCTAGCCAAGGCTCTGATATGAAATCTGACAGGTCAACGTCAAAGCTAAGTTGATACTTATGTTCAGTCAAATCATTGTAACGTTTCACACTGTTGAAGTGAGCTAATAACCCTCCTTGTGATAAATGTATTTATTTTTTATTTCACCTTTAGTTAACAGGGTAAACCAGTTGAGAACAAGTTCTCATTTACCTGTGGTGTGTGATTATTCTTCCTAGATCCCAAGAGACAAGCAACTACTGCCCAGCTCTAAAGCAGCAGAGACATCAGACCCTGATACCCAGGGGCACCTGGAGACCCCGGAGAACCACGTTCAGGTGTTAAAGACTGAACCTGTCAACCTGTCTCTGAACATCCAGCAGCTGGACTGTACAGACAGGCAGGGGTATGGAGGGGGTGGAGGGGGAGCTGTGGTGAAGACTGAGGCCCAGACGTCTTGCTACATGGCTCCTGGGGGTCCGTACAGGGGAGCTGGGGAGCAGCAGCAGGTCCGGGTGGTTTATGAGCAGAACAATCCCTATGACCATGGTTCCCTGTTCAGTCATGTCAGCCATGTTGTGAGCCACAGAGGCTACATGAATGAGGAACAGAGCCAGAGAAGTTCTCCAGACAGCACCTATGATGGCTCCTACCCTGAGGAGCAGGAGGTGAGGCCTGGAGCAGAGTGGTGTGGTGTCTAGATGTTTTGTTATTCATTTGAATCCAATCAATTATGATCAACTGGAGCAAAACCTTTTCAGCCATTACTGTACTGTTGTTCCTGTTTCTGTTGGTTAATGACACTATACTCCCATATCTCCTGACATGACTGTACTGTTGTGTATTCATCATACAGAGATACAGACCATCACCTTCTATAGGAGGGGACAAATCCCTCTACAGTCAGCCTGGAGTGTAAGTTACTGACTGTCTCTTTAACCTCTACAGTCAGCCTGGAGCGTTAGTTACTGACTGTCTCTTTAACCTCTACAGTCAGCCTGGAGCGTTAGTTACTGACTGTCTCTTTAACCTCTACAGTCAGCCTGGAGCGTTAGTTGCTGACTGACTCTCTTTAACCTCTACAGTCAGCCTGGAGCGTTAGTTACTGACTGTCTCTTTAACCTCTACAGTCAGCCTGGAGCGTTAGTTACTGACTGTCTCTTTAACCTCTACAGTCAGCCTGGAGCGTTAGTTACTGACTGACTCTCTTTAACCTCTACAGTCAGCCTGGAGCGTTAGTTACTGACTGACTCTCTTTAACCTCTACAGTCAGCCTGGAGCGTTAGTTACTGACTGACTCTCTTTAACCTCTACAGTCAGTCTGGAGCGTTAGTTACTGACTGACTCTTTTTAACCTCTACAGTCAGCCTGGAGCGTTAGTTACTGACTGACTCTCTTTAACCTCTACAGTCAGCCTGGAGCGTTAGTTACTGACTGTCTCTTTAACCTCTACAGTCATCCTGGAGCGTTAGTTACTGACTGTCTCTCTTTAACCTCTACAGTCAGCCTGGAGCGTTAGTTACTGACTGTCTCTTTAACCTCTACAGTCAGCCTGGAGCGTTAGTTACTGACTGTCTCTTTAACCTCTACAGTCATCCTGGAGCGTTAGTTACTGACTGTCTCTCTTTAACCTCTACAGTCAGCCTGGAGCGTTAGTTACTGACTGACTCTCTTTAACCTCTACAGTCAGCCTGGAGCGTTAGTTACTGACTGTCTCTTTAACCTCTACAGTCAGCCTGGAGCGTTAGTTACTGACTGTCTCTTTAACCTCTACAGTCATCCTGGAGCGTTAGTTACTGACTGTCTCTCTTTAACCTCTACAGTCAGCCTGGAGCGTTAGTTACTGACTGTCTCTTTAACCTCTACAGTCATCCTGGAGCGTTAGTTACATTTACATTTACATTTTAGTCATTTAGCAGACGCTCTTATCCAGAGCGACTTACATGAGCAATTAGGGTTAAGTGCCTTGCTCAAGGGCACATCGACAGATTTTTCACCTAGTCGGCAGTTACTGACTGTCTCTTTAACCTCTACAGTCAGCCTGGAGCGTTAGTTACTGACACTCTCTTTAACCTCTACAGTCAGTCTAGAGCGTTAGTTACTGACACTCTCTTTAACCTCTACAGTCAGCCTGGAGCGTTAGTTACTGACTGTCTCTTTAACCTCTACAGTCAGCCTGTAGCGTTAGTTACTGAACCTCTGAATAACCCAGCTCTTGACCACTGCTGCAACCACTACTATGCTGCTACCACTACTATACTGCTACCACTTCTATGCTGCTACCACTACTATGCTACCACTACTATGCTGCTACCACTACTATACTGCTACCACTACTATACTGCTACCACTACTATACTGCTACCACTACTATACTGCTACCACCACTATACTGCTACCACTACTATGCTACAACTACCACCACTATACTGCTACCACTACTATGCTACAACTACCACTACGATACTGCTACCACTACTATGCTGCTACCACTACTATACTGCTACCACTATTATACTGCTACCACTACTATGCTGCTACCACTACTATGCTGCTACCACAACTATACTTCTACCACTACTATGCTGCTACTACTATGCTGCTACCACTACTATGATGCTACCACTACTATGCTGCTACCACTACTATGCTGCTACCACTACTATGCTGCTACCACTACTATGCTGCTACCACTACTATACTGCTACCACTACTATGCTGCTACCACTACTATGCTGCTACCACTACTATACTGCTACCACTACTATGCTACCACTATTATACTGCTACCACTACTATACTGCTACCACTACTATGCTGCTACCACTACTATGCTGCTACCACTACTATGCTGCTACCACAACTATACTTCTACCACTACTATGCTGCTACCACTACTATGCTGCTACCACTACTATACTGCTAACACTACTATGCTGTTACCACTACTATGCTGCTACCACTACTATGCTGCTACCACAACTATACTTCTACCACTACTATGCTGCTACCACTACTATGCTGCTACCACTACTATACTGCTACCACTACTATGCTGCTACCACTACTATACTGCTACCACTACTATGCTGTTACCACTACTATACTGCTACCACTACTATGCTGCTACCACTACTATACTGCTACCACTACTATGCTGCTACCACTACTATGCTGCTACCACTACTATACTGCTACCACTACTATGCTACCACTACTATACTGCTACCACTACTATGCTGCTACCACTACTATACTGCTACCACTACTATGCTGCTACCACTACTATGCTGCTACCACTACTATACTGCTACCACTACTATGCTACCACTACTATGCTGCTACCACTACTATGCTGCTACCACTACTATGCTGCTACCACAACTATACTTCTACCACTACTATGCTGCTACCACTACTATACTGCTACCACTACTATGCTACCACTACTATGCTGCTACCACTACTATGCTGCTACCACTACTATACTGCTACCACTACTATACTGCTACCACTACTATACTGCTACCACTACTATGCTGCTACCACTACTATGCTGCTACCACTACTATACTGCTACCACTACTATGCTACCACTACTATGCTGCTACCACTACTATGCTGCTACCACTACTATACTGCTACCACTACTATGCTACCACTACTATGCTGCTACCACTACTATGCTGCTACCACTACTCTAATTCAATTCCATTTAATTCAATAGAACTTTGTCCGTGAAGGGCAGTTTGGTCACGCTCAACACACATTAGTGTCCTCTTCTCAACAGTGACACGTTCCAGTATTCTCTAGAGGCACCCAGGTCTGTCCATCGGAAGCAGAGGGAGGGGCCTATGACCTACCTGAACAAGGGACAGTTCTACGCCGTGACGCTGCGCAAGATGGGCGGAGCCAACAAGGGCCAGCACAATCCATTCAGCAAAGTGCGGGTGAGTGGGCCGTGGTAAGAGCCAGGGAGGAGCCACAGCTTTGTGCAGGTGAGGGGGAGACAGCTGGAGGATGGGGGGAGGGAGACAGATGGAGGATGGGGGGGGGGGTGCTGTAGAGGAGTAGAGAACACATTCTGAACTCTACCAAAGTTTCCTGAGACGTTCTAAAGCTGTGAAAAATAGTTTCTGTTTCTGGGTACTGGGTATTGAGCTGACCCCTAGCCTGGATAATTATGTACTGGGTATTGAGCTTAACCCTAGCCTGGACAACGATGTACTGGGTATTGAGCTGAACCCTAGCCTGGATAATGATGTACTGGGTATTGAGCTGAACCCTAGCCTGGATAATGATAAATAATGATGTACTGGATATTGAGCTGAACCCTAGCCTGGATAATGATGTACTGGGTATTGAGCTCAACCCTAGCCTGGATAATGATGTACTGGGTATTGAGCTCAACCCTAGCCTGGATAATGATAAATAATGATGTACTGGATATTGAGCTTAACCCTAGCCTGGATAATGATGTACTGGGTATTGAGCTGAACCCTAGCCTGGATAATGATAAATAATGATGTACTGGATATTGAGCTGAACCCTAGCCTGTATAATGATAAATAATGATGTACTGGATATTGAGCTGAACCCTAGCCTGGATAGTGATGTACTGGGTATTGAGCTGAACCCTAGCCTGGATAATGATAAATAATGATGTACTGGATATTGAGCTGAACCCTAGCCTGGATAATGATGTACTGGGTATTGAGCTGAACCCTAGCCTGGATAATGATGTACTGGGTATTGAGCTGACCCCTAGCCTGGATAATGATGTACTGGGTATTGAGCTGAACCCTAGCCTGGATAACGATGTACTGGGTATTGAGCTGAACCCTAGCCTGGATAATGATGTACTGGGTATTGAGCTGAACCCTAGCCTGGATAATGATGTACTGGGTATTGAGCTGAACCCTAGCCTGGATAATGATGTACTTGGTATTGAGCTGAACCCTAGCCTGGATAATGATATACTGGGTATTGAGCTGAACCCTAGCCTGGATAATGCTGTACTGGGTATTGAGCTGAACCCTGGATAATGATATACTGGGTATTGAGCTGAACCCTAGCCTGGATAATGCTGTACTGGGTATTGAGCTGAACCCTAGCCTGGATAATGATGTACTGGGTATTGAGCTGAACCCTGGATAATGATATACTGGGTATTGAGCTGAACCCTAGCCTGGATAATGATATACTGGGTATTGAGCTGAACCCTAGCCTGGATAATGCTGTACTGGGTATTGAGCTGAACCCTAGCCTGGATAATGATGTACTGGGTATTGAGTTGAATGTGAGCTAAATGTACTGTATTCTCTCCAGAGTGTGGTGATGGTGATGTTCAGTGAGGACAAGGACAGAGATCAGCAGCTGAAACACTGGAAGTACTGGCACTCCAGACAACACACCACTAAACAGAGAGTCCTAGACATCGGTAAGAACAACTAACTGTAGCTAACTAACCCTAACTAACCAACGTACTGGCACTCCAGACAACACACCACTAAACAGAGAGTCCTAGACATCGGTAAGAACAACATCCCTTTTCCCACATTGATATGATCAACCATGATATCAGTGTCCTCCAGGTAAGCCACAGTGTCTTTGAGCCAAAGCCCAGATAATGGAAAGACCGTTTTAATACCACTCCTCTCTCTGTCTGGTCTCCTGTTACGGAAACACACTGCGACTCATAACCAGTCTACAGATCCATGGAAAAACAGATGGGGAATACAGCGGGGCAGTGACAGACTCTAGCGAGGGAAGAATCAGTTAGATTTGAGGTCGACTGCCCCAGGTACCCAAGATATTAGGACTAGAGACCCCCAGAGCAGGTTGTAGACCTGGGAGATGAGAGGAGAGCCCTCCCATTACTGGTAGTGAAACCTGACACAGGGCAGTGATTAGAATAACGGTCTGGCACGATTCCACCTGAGGCCCGGGGCGATGTCACTGCATCAGGGATTTGAATAGAGCTGTTAGCATGAAACGTGGGGGAGGGGGGGACTTGTCTCAACTTGTGGGATGGAGTAAACTGTGGGTAAATAGGCCGTTTAGTTTATCTTCCTCATGTCCTTGTCCATGCACATAATTATATTTTGTATTCCTAAAAACTGTTGGTGCTGTGCTTTGTGGATTTGCCAACTAAATCCTTATAATCTGATTCAGCTCAAAAGATGTTGCAGATTTTGAAATAGTGATATTTTCTTGAAGTGAATTTAGTGTGGCCCCATTATCCATGCACTAGCAGTGTTAAAAACATTTTATACTGTGCAGCCGCAGGGAATATTTTCTCACTTAGGTCTTTGAGGTAGACATCCACTCTCCCCATGCTCTCTGTGTGTGTGTGTGTGTGTGTGTGTGTGTGTGTGTGTGGTATTTTGAAATGCTCTTTAACATGCTCTATGTAAATGAAACAGTAAAGTAGCGTTTGAGAGATACTGATGTCCTGTGACCTCCTCTCTGCATGCAGCCGACTACAAAGAAAGCTTCAACACCATCGGGAACATTGAGGAGATTGCCTACAATGCCGTCTCCTTCACCTGGGATGTCAACGAGGAGGCCAAGGTAAGGAGACACATGACTGTTGTATAAAGGTGCTTCAACAGAAGTGGCAACTTGCTCTCAGTACCATACAGGAGACGGTGATATGAAAAAGTTAACAAGAGAAAACATTTCTAGGGTCCTAAATCTTTGGAGGATGTTGGAATACAGTATGTGGGAAATAATGAGTTCCATCGTACCTGTGGTGCCATTATCCACTCTGTTGGTCTGCCAGAAACAGGTCTACAGACAGACCATTATCCGCTCCCTTTTGGTCTGCCAGAAACAGGTCTGTTTCTGGCAGACCAACAGAGTGGATAATGGTCTGTCTGTAGACCTGTTTCTGGCAGACCAACAGAGTGGATAATGGTCTGTCTGTAGACCTCTTTCTGGCAGACCAACAGGGAGCGGATAATGGTCTGTCTGTAGACCTGTTTCTGGCAGACCAACAGGGAGCGGATAATGGTCTGTCTGTAGACCTGTTTCTGGCAGACAAACAGCGACCAGTCTCTGAGTGTTTCTCGTTCGAGGTGGCCCTGTAATCCTGATAGTACTGTAGGTGTGACACACTGGGCCACTCTGAGGGACAGAAAGGAGCAGCTCAGGTTTCAGCTCAGATTTCAGCTCTGAAAGAGACCCAGCTTCAGGCTCCAGCTCTCTAGATAAATATTGACCGTTCAGGAGGGCCTCTGTTGAAACAGCCTACAACTATTAGTAGCTTGTTGGTCATGTGATTGGGACATATATTATTTTGCATTGTTTAAAGGATGTATGTTATTTACAAAGGAAATCAATCTTTCCTAAAGGCCTCCCTATATTGTGAGTGGGTCAGACATGCGGTTGTTTTGTTCTCAGCTATTATATTTGTACTCTGTTATTGTCTGTTGATGAGCGGTACCAGATGAATTTAAATGCTTTACAGTTGATAGATCACACAGTTCTAAGCAAACTGTCTGAACTCTCAGAGCATGTAGGGTTCAGACCAAACTGTCTGAACTCTTAGAGCATGTAGGGTTCAGAGCAAACTGTCTGAACTCTTAGAGCATGTAGGGTTCTAACCAAACTGTCTGAACTCTTAGAGCATGTAGGGTTCAGAGCAAACTGTCTGAACTCTCAGAGCATGTAGGGTTCAGAGCAAACTGTCTGAACTCTTAGAGCATGTAGGGTTCTGAGCAAACTGTCTGAACTCTTAGAGCATGTAGTGTTCAGAGCAAACTGTCTGAACTCTTAGAGCATGTAGTGTTCAGAGCAAACTGTCTGAACTCTTAGAGCATGTAGGGTTCTAACCAAACTGTCTGAACTCTTAGAGCATGTAGGGTTCTGAGCAAACTGTCTGAACTCTTAGAGCATGTAGGGTTCAGAGCAAACTGTCTGAACTCTTAGAGCATGTAGGGTTCAGAGCAAACTGTCTGAACTCTTAGAGCATGTAGGGTTCAGAGCAAACTGTCTGAACTCTTAGAGCATGTAGGGTTCAGAGCAAACTGTCTGAACTCTTAGAGCATGTAGGTAGGCTGTAGTAGTATGTTTTGTGGAGACTGTATTGGCATCAGGTCAGGAGTGTGTGTATGAGTCAGTGGTGTATGACAGACAGGGATAGAGTGGAGACATGATGTTAAAGGGTCAGTGTTGCTGAAAACAAACACATTCCCTCCCTGATCCCTCAGTCTCCACTACCTCTCTACCCCTCCACCTCTCTACCCTCCCCTGTCCCCTCCACCCTCCCCTCCACCCTCCCCTGTCCCCTCCACCCTCCCCTGTCCCCTCTACCCTCCCCTCTACCCTCCCCTGTCCCCTCCCCTGTCCCCTCCACCCTCCCCTGTCCCCTCCACCCTCTACCCTCCCCTCTCCACCCTCCCCTGTCCCCTCCACCCTCCCCCCTCCCCTGTCCCCTCCACCCTCTAACCCTCCCCTGTCCCCTCCACCCCCCCCTGTCCCCTCTATCCTCCCCTGTCCCCTCCATCCTTCCCTGTCCCCTCCACCCTCCACTGTCCCCTCTACCCCTCCCCTGTCCCCTCCACCCTCCCCTCCACCCCCCCCCCTGTCCCCTCTATCCTCCCCTGTCCCCTCCATCCTTCCCTGTCCCCTCCACCCTCCACTGTCCCCTCTACCCTCCCCTGTCCCCTCTATCCTCCCCTGTCCCCTCTACCCTCCCCTGTCCCCTCCATCCTTCCCTGTCCCCTCCACCCTCCACTGTCCCCTCTACCCTCCCCTGTCCCCTCTATCCTCCCCTGTCCCCTCTATCCTCCCCTGTCCCCTCTACCCTCCCCTCCACCCTCCACCCAAAATGCACATTCACTAATAATGATCAACTTCTTGTAGCAGGCATTATAGAAAATTAACACAGGTCTCATAAACAATCTCTCAAGCACAAGCCCATGCGCTAGTGAGTAGCCAGCTAATCTTTATAAAGTATTTAAAGTCTAGCCAACTTGGATCTATTTGCTAGCGAACACACCCTCCTGTCCGTCTCTAATTGTTTGAACTGCATGTTATCCTGTCCACTTAGTTCAGATGTTGAAATAGAGTGGCTTACCTCATTTCTCAGAATGAGAACGAGTTGCCAATTCTGTATATAATTGTATTTTTTATGCTCATTGCACATTTATAAAACACAGACTAAATTATAAGAGGCCGTCTAGGCTCTTTTAAGATCCTTACTACTGAATAGTGTCTGTTCCAGGTGTGTAGGAGTCAAAATAACAATACTGGAAGAGATGGAGACCCGCACACTGTCTTTTTTTTGGGGGGGGGGAATAAATAAAAAAGGAAGCTTGAATGATAAAGATGTTTATTAAAACATCATGGTGGCCCAAAAGACCATAGTGCATAAATGAAAGGTGAAACCAAAACGCAACCGTTTCAGCCTCTGAGAAGCACCCCTACGTGAAGATTTATCTGCTGTAGAGCACAGAAGGACATGGAGGAGACGGGGTGACCGGCCTCTGAGAAATGACTTGCAATAGGGGATGTAGGGTCATTTCTCCTTGCAGCACTCTTGTGTTCTATAATACGTGTTCTTATCTGTCTACTGGTTTAGATCATGTATTGCTTATTGCGTGGACAAGAGATAAGGTATATGACGTTAGAAGAGCTGCATGTGAGGAACTGTTTGAAAGTGTATTGTTTGAAAGTGGCAGAGCTGCTGAATACGCTCACTTTGTTACAGGAATCCCTACAACTACAGCAAGGAGAGAAACCAGACTAGACAGCTAGTACACTGAACAAAAATATTAACGCAACATGCAACAATTTCAAAGATTTTACTGAGGAAATCAGTCAATTGAAATAAATTCATTAGGCCCTAATCTATGGATTTTACATTACTGGGAATACAGATATGCATCTGTTGGTCACAGATACATTAAAAGACATGGGCCTCACAATGGGCCTCAGGATCTCGTCACGGTATTTCTGTGCATTTAAATTGCCATCGATAAAATGCATTTGTGTTCATTGTCCGTAGATTATGCCTGCCCATACCATAACCCCACCGCCACCATGGGGCACTCTGTTCACAACGCTGACATCAGCAAACCGCTCGCCCACACGACGCCATGTACGTGGTCTGCGGTTTTGAGGCCGGTTGGACGTACTGCCAAATTCTCTAAAACGACGTTGGAGGCGGCTTATGGTAGAGAAATGAACATTCAATTCTCTGGCAACAGCTCTGGTGGACATTTCTGCAGTCAGCATACCAATTGCACGCTCCCTCAACTTGAGACATCTGTGGCATTGTGTTGTGTGACAAAACTGCACATTTTAGAGTGGCCTTTTCTTGTCCCCAGCACAAGGTGCACCTGTGTAATGATCATGCTGTTTAATCAGCTTCTTGATATGCCACACCTGTGTCACACTCTGGTTCTAGGACTTTTTGTGTTTAGTCAGGGTGTGTAGATTTCCGTGTGTTGTGTACTGTGGGTAGTGTCTAGGTGTTCGCGTTCTATGTTTGGTCAGTGACTCCCAATCGGAGGTAACGAGTGTCAGCTGTCGGCTCGTTATCTCTGATTGGGAGCCATATTTAAATGTCTGTGTTCACCTTGTGGTTGTGGGTTTTTGTTCTTTATTCAGTCGGTGTAACTGAGGACGTCACGGATCGTGTTTTGTTTTGTCGTGTGTTTCAAAATTAAAATCATCATGTTCACTCCCAACGCTGCGCTTTGGTCATACTTCATTGGCGATCGTGACAGAAAAACCCACCACAACGAGACCAAGCAGCAGTTGGATAACGAGTGGTGGAGCCAGAAGAGCGAAGGTTGGGAGAGGACTATGGAGGCCTGGTCCACCGAGAGGAGAGACCCCCAGAAAATTTTTAGGGGGGGGCTCACGACGTCGGGGCAGAAGGTGTACGGCCCGGAGGAGTGCAAGAGGTTGGCAGATATGGCCGCCAGTTTAAGGGGGCCACTGGTTACGAAGGGGATGGAAAGTGTGGAGGCACGGCGAGAGGTACTGGGGGGTGTTTCCAGTCCGGTCCGGCCCGTTCCTGATCCCCGTGTAGGGCCAGGGGTGTGTGTCCCCAGTGCGGTTCTGTCTGTCCCTGCTCAACGCACCAAGCCTACGGGGTGCGTCGCCAGCCCAGCTCGGCCTGTTCCTGCGCCCCGCACCAAGTCTGTGGTGCGTTTCGCCAGCCCAGCCCGGCCTGTCCCTGCTCAACGCACCGAGCCTACGGGGTGCGTCGTCAGCCCTGTCCAGCCAGAGCCGTCCGCCAGACAGGATCAGCCAGAGCCTTCCGCCAGACAGGATCAGCCAGAGCCTTCCGCCAGCCATGAGCAGCCAGATCCTTCCGCCAGCCATGAGCAGCCAGATCCGTCAGCCAGCCATGAACAGCCAGATCCGTCAGCCATCCATGAGCAGCCAGATCCGTCAGCCAGCCATGAGCAGCCAGATCCGTCAGCCAGCCATGAGCCGTCCAGCCAGGATCCGCCAGAGCCGTCCAGCCAGGATCCGCCAGAGCCGTCCAGCCAGGATCCGCCAGAGCCGTCCAGCCGGGATCCGCCAGAGCCGTCCAGCCGGGATCCGCCAGAGCCTTCCAGCCAGGATCCGCCAGAGCCGTCCAGCCAGGATCCGCCAGAGCCGTCCAGCCGGGATCCGCCAGAGCCGTCCAGCCGGGATCCGCCAGAGCCGTCCAGCCGGGATCCGCCAGAGCCGTCCAGCCGGGATCCGCCAGAGCCGTCCAGCCAGGATCCACGCACCAAGCCAGGGGCGCGTGTCGTCAGTCCGGTTCCGGCCAGCGGGGCTAGGCAGGACCAGGGGTACTTTGGGGGGGTTGGAGAGGAAGTGGGGAGGAAGCCCGGAGCCGGAGCCGCCGCCGAGGAGGAATGCCCACCCAGCCCTCCCCTGTTTGCTTGTAGTTAGGCGCGGTCGCAGTCCGCGCCTTTGGGGGGGGGGGTACTGTCACACTCTGGTTCTAGGACTTTTTGTGTTTAGTCAGGGTGTGTAGATTTCCGTGTGTTGTGTACTGTGGGTAGTGTCTAGGTGTTCGCGTTCTATGTTTGGTCAGTGACTCCCAATCGGAGGTAACGAGTGTCAGCTGTCGGCTCGTTATCTCTGATTGGGAGCCATATTTAAATGTCTGTGTTCACCTTGTGGTTGTGGGTTTTTGTTCTTTATTCAGTCGGTGTAACTGAGGACGTCACGGATCGTGTTTTGTTTTGTCGTGTGTTTCAAAATTAAAATCATCATGTTCACTCCCAACGCTGCGCTTTGGTCATACTTCATTGGCGATCGTGACAACCTGTCAGGTGGATGGATTATCTTGGCAAAGGAGAAATGCTCACTAACAGGGATGTAAACACATTTGTGCACAAAATTTGAGAGAAATAAGGATATTTTATTTCAGCTCATGAAACATGGGACCAACACTTTACATGTTGCGTTTATATTTTTGTTCAGTGTATAACAGTCTGATAGCGGTACCGCTATGCTGCGTGCGACAGAAACTGAGCATTCATTTTCCAGAATCAATGTTAATTTATACTCCCGTTTTAGTAATGTCTGCTCTGCACACAAATTGAGGAGTTGAGACATAAAAAGGGTATCGTTAGAAAGGTTGACTTCTCTAACACAGTAAAATAAAGTCTCAATGCGCTTCGGTGTCAAAATGAGCGATTCTGTTGGACCAAACCTCAAATGCAAATTGCGAGTTGAAACTGCTTGTTGTCAGAAAGGAAGAAGAGATCCTTCATCTTTGTTGTTGTGAGTGGCAGGGGCTTGGTGTGTGTGTGTGTGTGTGTGTGTGTGTGAGAGTGGGAGACTACAACAATAGTAAACGAACAAAAATTTGACCAACTGGGGACATTTTGTTAGTGCCCACGAGGTCAAATGCTATTTCTAGGGGGTTTAGGGTTAAGGTTAGATTTAGGGTTAGAATTACGTTAAGGGTTAGGGTTAGGAGCTAGGGTTAGTTTTAGGGTTAGGGTTAGGAGCTAGGGTTAGGTTTAGGGTTAGGAGCTAGGGTTAGGTTTAGGGTTAGGTTTTTGGGTTAAGGTTAGGGTTATGGTTAAGGTAAGGGTAAGAGTACGGGTTAGGGTTAGGTTTAGGGTTAGGGAAAATTGGATTTTGAATGGGACTGAATTGTGTGTCCCCACAAGGTTAGCTGTACAAGACTGTGTGTGTGTGTGTGTGTGTGTGTGTGTGTGTAAATGGGAAGGAAGGTGCAGAGTCACAGCAGAAGGAGATGAGATCATAAATCCTCTATTCTGACGATACAGGCATTTGGAATATCGTGCTAAAACATTAAATTGAATTAATCAAATTAATTATATATATCGGCCAGCCCTACTCTCCACCTCTCTATCTCTCTGACCCCTGACATCTTGTAATTATCACCTCTACTGGCACAGAGACAGATCCTGAAGTCACCCCCGCTGATTTAACAGAGATCCCAGCTGAGATGGGCTGGCACA